TATATCTCTCACCACTCAAATCGATTTCAAAGTCACCAGGATAGAAATCTCTAATAGGAGAATCCTGCAAAATAAGAATAACTTATGTAATCAGGATTTAATGTGTTTCATATATATTACAAAAGAAAATTATAATTGAAGAATATCATATATTGTATAAACTCACACCAGGTTCACCGATCATTAAAGGTCTCCATGTTATTGGTAACAAATGATCATTACTAGGTGGTAATATCGCCATTAACTGTTCAAGCGGTTTCAGCTGTAAACAAGTACAACGTGATTATTGTACAGTCCACGTTTGTAGAATGTCACTGGAATTACATTTACATGCATCACAATTAGTAGTTCTTACACAAATATTTAACAAATAATAGTTCATTCATAGACCCTAGGTTTCAATTTGCATTTGACCATTATAGCTAGCATAAGTGATCCAGTGTGACTGATACAGTGACTGTTGTATACTACATGGAATTAGCTTCTCAACTAATCCAATGAAAAGACAAGAAAAAGTCTTACTGGCTCGCCGACTTCAAAGTCATTTTGTAGATGGGTAATATTTTTGAAGTCCATAGCAAATGGAGCATAATGGTATGGATAAAACCACTGCCAGGATGGACAGCCATGAAAATAATACATTGATATCCAACATAGACCCTTTACATAAGAGTCAGCCTGTAATATGAAGCGTAGCAACAATATAAGATGATTGATACAGGATAGAGCACTGAATCTAATTATTTAAGTAGATTTGAAATGAATAACTATATCTTTAAATTCACCAAATTGGTATTAACACAATCGCGTAATCCTGCAATAATATTAATTACAAGTTACTACACAACCACTGAATTCATTCATGTGACAATTAAAATTTGAATAATTATTACTATCGAACATAAAAACTCACCAAATTGTTTATAAATTCAGGTTCATGTGATGGTGACACATCAAACTTGTATTCATAGTATCGATCTTTCCATCCATCCATACCTAGCCTGGCAATTAAACCGTATGAAACACGTTTGTGAATGCTCTTACTAATGTCATATAATAAATGCACCTCCACCTCTTCTTTATGCTAATGTTTATGATAACTTGTAGTTTTAAATTTAAAAGTGTCTGTTTTGTTTGCTGTACAATATAAATAATGGCTGATATCGATGAATGTACTTCTAAGTCACTATCTCAATCTTACCTTACATTGTCTTCTGACTCGTGTTGAATCTCACATTTGTACTTGGAATTCTGCAAAAAATAAATTTAATGTACATTTTCTATAATAATAACAGCACAGCATTATACATCTCGATTCAAAAATGTGCGTCAAATATTGAGTAAAGAGAATATTATCAATTATCTAATGACTTTCCCCGAACAATATTTTCTGCTATATTGAGTGTCAGTTTTTAATGTGTGATTGTTGATGGAGTTTTCATGTTCGTCATTTCTGCTCATATCGGTTGTTTCTACTACCCACCATTTCATTCTTCTGACGCCTCTCTCTGAATATGACGTCCTCCTCCTTTCCTAGCTCTGAGTGCAAACCAAATTATGTTAGAAACTGTTATAAATGCAGCTTATTGGACCATGCTATAAAAACATGGATCAAATTAATTTAAGGGTATGTATATTTCTCACCTGTCAGTATCATCTGTAACATGTGTAAATTCACAATTCCATTATCTGTAAGGTAGCGCTATGGAAAATAAATACATATTCTTACTAATATATACAAAGCTTACTATAATTTATAGTATTCACTCATGTATCAAGCATTTCTACTGGTAACACCTAAGCGGATCGAAACAGTTATTCGGTGTAGTTACTAATGGTGATTACACTGACTGGAAACTAATATTATGATTGCGCAGTGCGTATTGGGGAAACAATCATAATAATATTATTATTCCTTTAAGCTCACAGTAAGCGTCATTGGTGACAACAGGGACTTGTCGTTTCTCTCCACCCGGTGTTACTAGTAGTATTTGGTGTTTATGATGCTAGTGTCGCCAGATATCCTGCAATATAAAACTTTAACTACATCTTATAATTCCAGATTGTATGGCCTCCCACAACATTATATACCAAACTTTACCAAACTCTAATTAATATATTTGCTCTAATACAAATAACCAACCACATGATGCAATATTCACATTTTAAATAATGAAAAAGTCTTCTCGTTTTGGCAATGAAAATGATTTAGTAAAATGCAATACTGAGATATTCCTGAGAGTATCCTAGGTTGTAAAAATATTATGCAATATTTAATATTACCTGATTTACTTCCGTGTCTATTCTCACACTCTGCGTTTGGGTCACCTTAAAAGTCATTATGAAAATACATGTTTAGGTAGCACATAATGACTGAGAACAAAATACAGCATTACCTAGATATATAGGCTTAATTATGCATGTCACGTGCCGAATCGCCTGTTATATGTTGCATTTTATTATTTAGTTTGAGATATAGAGCATAGAGGTTAACGCTGTAATGTGATTATTATTTTTAATATACGAGATATGCCCATGTTATTTTCTTACTTTGTCTCCGTCATCTGGGTCTATTTCTTCTGATTTTCCATCCAATGCTAATGATAATTCTCTTATTTTAGACTTGAGGTCATTAATCTAAAATAATAAAACTGTTGCATTAATTTGGTAAATCCAATTGCACAATTGATGTTGTCAGTATCACACCACCATCCCACACCTTTACATATAATATTGCGTATAACACTTATTGGCGTAAAGACAGACATTTTAGACTTATTGAGAGTACGATATTATAAAGCCTGCTTTATAAGCATCATCACGTTGATTTGTGGCCAGTATTTGTGTTTACGAGTGCCATAATTTCATATTACATGTGGTTTCAACCCATTTTTATGTAATGGTAGTCGAAATTATTAATGAGCACTTAATAATGTATTCTTACCATGGTGTGTGTAACAGCTGTCTTGTACATACGTACCAACCTATCAAGTGCCCCCTCTCTGGGTTAGAAATAAATTAGTCATTAATTTAGTAATATGAAAATATGGAAGTATTATACTTTAGGCATACTAGTGTATGTATGTATATAGATATATTAATGGTATATGTAAAACTGGCAAATTCCATATATGTTATGTCGTAATTCTTAACAGATCCACACCCAAGAAGTGGTGTGTTTTGGATATCTTTCCAACCAGAATGATGAAACAAATGCCCAAATGTCTAAATTACAAAAGGTGCAGAATGAGGCGACAAAACCGGTATTCATACGAAACAAAATGATTGTTTCATTAGCTTCTGGGGAGATGTAGTTTGAAAGATATTGTTTGTTTACATGGCCAGATACCTAGGTATTAAGCTAACGTTCTAAACCCGCACGAGTTTGGGAATCTTTGGCAAATTTGTCTAATGTCTTTAGTTATTCATCTTATTGAGTTTAGTATTTTTAGTCATTATGTTGCATATTTATTTTGTTAATTTTTGTACTTAATACCTTGCTGTAAAATACTGTGTTTTATTTTTGCCACTTGTTTGTTATTCGATCTTGATCAGTACAATTCAAGTAATTAAATTGTTATAATTGGAATAGCTTACTTGATATTCAGTGAAGGCAATTTTGGTAAAAAGTCATTGCCAAGGAGGCAACATAAAAACACCCAGTCATCAATAGTTCTCTGTAGAATACAACAACAAAAGTAAACTTGGAATACCAGTAATGTTTATTTGAAATTAGGAGCAATTATGCTTATTTCATCACATGAGGTCGTCACTCAGTGGTATGGTAAGTGTATAGCCATGACGGAAGTTGACAAATACAAAGATATTGGATCTGTAAGATTCATTCACAATGTGTACAATATTGTTGACAGGAATTACGTGGAAGTCATATTAGTGACGCTGAGGAATAATAAAAAACTGTTGTTTGCACACAGAACATGAATCAGATTATGTAAAACAAATGTAATCTTCTCTAGCATGCACACAACTTGTCAGTACTATAATAATGTCCATCAAGGCAACGTGCAGTTTACAGATATAGCTGACAAACTTAACAAACATATTTAAGATGTCGATTTTGCTATTGAGTTTACTCACGTTGATATTGTGCACTCCGCTTCCCAGGATTGATACGTACATTTCTTTTTCAAGACACTGTAATTAGTAATAACGAAGTACAGAACTGTAAAATATATGGTGTACAATACTTAAGCGCATGATATTATTAACATGAATATTACATAAAGCAGCACATTACACAAACGTACCTTTCGGAGGACTTTTAAGTGTACGAATATGAGCTTCTCTTCTTGTACAACCTGAAACACGAGAGTATTATAAGTGGTACTTATTTACTTTAGACTTTTAGACTAATTGACACTTTTTAAAACAGGTCCTCATAATTATGTATATGATTATACAGTTCAATACAATGTTTGTGCTATATGGTGTTCACCACAGGATGTGATAATCCATAGAAAGTTCGTATTAGTTAAATATATTGCAATATTTGTACAAAATTAATTTACCTCACGTTCTTGTCTCGGTGCGTTTTCACAGTCTCTCACTATATGCCCTGCAATAGTACAATATTCACACACTGATACATTTCATCTTATCAAACTAAATAATGTCACAACGATCATGGTCGCATGAGCAATTGTTCGAACCATACCCACGCCTTCCCATCACCAGGGAATTTTATGTAGAAGTGTACAGTTGCAGTCTGAGGATGTTCTTCCAACAAGAATAGAAACTGAATCTGTTTTAGGGATAGTAATTT